GGCTCTAGGCCAAGTGGGAGATTGTTAGTACATAGGTGTCCTAGAGACAATCTGAGAGTCAGATAGATCCATATACTTCTTTATTAGTTATGAATAAATTATATGAATAAAAGCATTATTTATCTTGTTTCATATTGCATGTCTCAAATATTGAATATGAGTAACTGGATAAAGCCCTTGGAATGGGACGGGTCTCACACTGAGGATCTGTGATAGAGATTACGATCATGAGGGCTCAATGACACCACACGTCCATTTCCAGAATATGTTCCTAGTCTAGAGATACCGATAATGGGCATTGGTTATCTCGGGTAAGACTAGCACGACTCAGCTACTTGCATGGAGATGTAAGGTAGAGTCCTCGTGAGCTACAGACATGGAGATGTCTTAGCTGACTCGTGGGTGGACCTATTGGAGAATAGCTCGCACTGAACTGACCCACAAAGAGACACTACAAGGAAATCTCACAAATAGTATCAATAGATAATGTCTCTTATTATTTGGGTGTGTCTTTCCTTAGACCTAACGTTGTCGTATAGACCTGTGCTCTGGAAGGCTTGCTTTGATTGTATATCTTGTCTGCTTGAAACATAGAGACTTGTAGGTATACTCTTGGGCATGCCCTAAGGACTCAGGGCTAGTGTGACAAGCTAAAGGAATTCGTCAATCTCTGTGAGAGATTAGGTTATCCGTAGACCGGTGAAACTGGAATAACATTTACGGGACTCGGGAATCTATGCATAGTAAAGGAGTCATGAGATGGCCCGCTCTTTAGAGTCCGTAAATGAAGATTCTCTGTTTCGGCAAAAGCTAACCCTAGATCACAGGGGTTGATACGTTTTCCTTGACCTAGGTCAATGGGATGGATAACCGAGACGAAAGGAGAATTCACACGGTAACCAAATAGGTATAACAGGTTGATCATTCGATGAACTCAACTAGCTCTGGACAACAAAGCATTGTTAGTGCTCTGTGTTGTCATTAGATGGATTGGGCCTAATGGGCCCAAGCCCATTTATGTCAGTGGCTATGTTGGGCTTGATGGGTCGCACACAAACACCTTAAGTTGTCTTGAATTCTAGCATATGTGTTTTGGGCCCAATAAGGCATAATGGGCCTAAGTTGGAAAAGTCCACATGTTGGGCCAAGAGAGAGTAGGTGGCATCATGAGTCAAGTTGGACTTGATCCATGATGTAACCTAAAATGTTAAATTAATAAAATTAATATGAATTCTAATTTCGAATTTCGAATTTGAAATTTGAATTTAAATAAAATTAATTTAAATTCTAATTTTGAATTTTGAATTTAAAATTAGAATTTAAATATAGTCATTAAATTAGATTTATTGAAGATGGAGAAAATAAATCAAATCAATCGATTAGATTGATTGGAAACAAATCCATTAGATTGATTAACCAAAATTAAGGAAACCAATTAATTAAATTAATTGGCTGAAATTAGGAAAACAAATCAATTGGATTGATTGACCAAAATTAAAGGAAACTAATTAATTAAATTAATTGGCTGAAATTTGGAAAACCAATCAATTGGATTGATTGGATAAAATTAAGAAAACCAATTAATTAAATTAATTGGCTGAAATTGGGAAAACCAATCAATTGGATTTATTGGATAAAATTATGGAAATTATCTAATAAGATTGGGATTTGATGAGAGCGCTGATTTAACCTAGTCTTAGGTTAATGAGTCGCCACATCTATTTATAGCCTCTTTTCTTCCTTAGTTTTGTATCTCTTCTTCATCTCTAATTTTCTCCACTGAAACCTTAGCCAACACACATATCAGTGTGGCGGCTACCTCTCTCTTGGAATAACCAAAGGCACTACCCAATCTCTATTCTTCTCTTGAGTCTAGCAACCTCCATTGAAGGAGATTGGGAATTCGAAGAAGTGTTCTTCTCTTACAAGACAACAAGGTGGTGTGGATTTCCATCGGAGGACTTCTGTTCTTAAAATCTGAAAAATTGATCAAGAACGCATTTGATCAGGAATAATAATCCGAATAAAGGTATCTACTTTAAACCCTTACATGTCCATTGCATGATTCATGGGTTAAACATGATTGAGGGTGGGCAAAGGTTGCTTCTTCCGCATAAAAAAATTAATTTTTCCCTCTTTTATGTTCATGGACTACAAGAGTACAAATATAGACCTTTGAAGTTTGCTTCTGAATAGGGTACCTTCTAAATCTGTTCAGACCATTCCATATGAGATATGGACTGGTAGGAGACCAAACTTGAGCTACCTCAAGGTTTGGGGATCTCCAACATATGTCAAAGCGCTGACATCAGAGGATCTTCTTTCTCAAAGAGCTAGTGGGAGTAAAATTGAATTTGAAGAAGTTCAAAGCCCACAAGAACAGATTAAGGAACCCGAGTCTGCTCCGCAGGTGACGTTCTCCAATGGAGAAGTAAACACACAACTTCGTAGGTCTACTAGGGTTAGTCAACCACCTTAGAGGTACGGTTATGTGATTGAGAATCAGCAAACCATTAAGGATGACGAACCTTGTAACTATGAGGAGACAGTCAAGGATGTTGACTCCTCCAAGTGGCTTGAAGCCATGAGGTCTGAAATAGACTCGATACATCAAAACCAGATATGGACCTTGGTTCCACATCCAGAAAGAATGGTTCCTATTGGATGTAAATGGGTCTTTAAGAAAAAGACTGATGTCGATGGCAACGTTCAAACCTATAGAGCTAGGTTGGTTGCGAAAGGATATCGTTAAAGACAATGAGTTGACTATGACGAGACTTTCTCACATGTTGCCATGGTCAAATCTATTCGGATCATGCTAGCTATAGCAACATATTATGATTATGAAATTTGGCAAATGGATGTCAAGAATGCCTTCTTGAATGGGTTCCTATTTGGTATATGATATAGCCTGAAGGTTTTGAATCCAAAGGCCAGAAGTATATGGTATGCAAACTTCAAAGGTCAATATATGGGCTAAAGAAAACATCACGGAGTTGAAACATTCCTTAACTATGCATAGATTTTCAAGATTAGCTTCAAGAGTACAAATTTTGAAGTAATCTTCCTTAAAGTTTTTCCAATTATCTTCAAATATAGTACACCACCTAAGTCCAAGACGAGCTTTCAAAGAAACCCAACTGTAACGGGTACTTCCTTTCTCAATGGCGTTATGGAACACGGCGAAAAAGCAAAAAAATACCCTGGAAGAATAAGCAAACGCATAAGCCCGGCAAATTATTTCAAGAGTTCTTAAGAAACACCAACTGCTAGGATGAAGTTGAGAAGGGGTAACATCTAGATGACGCAAGACTTCTGTTTGGAAGTCGGTAAAAGGTAATAGGATCTTATGTTTCAAAAATAAGCATTTGTACACAAAGAAAAAAGCATCATCTCCTTGCCCGAAACGTGAACAGATTCTTTCGTTCTCGCCAGGAACGTCAAGCCGGAAAGAAGTAATTATTGAGTCGTGATAGAGAGGTACCAGACGTAATGCCGCCTGCAAAGCAGCCAGATTGTTTTCGTAAGTAGAACGAAGTCCTAATACTTCTATGTCAACCCATTCTAAACCCGCCAAGCTGAGAGGAAGAGCAAAGCGAGAAACAGGAAGCAAAAGGTAAGGTCGGTTCCTCGGCATGTGCCTGGAAGGAAAGGCACTGTTAGACTCTAACTCGGAAACATAAGTAATAGACAATATGTTATCGGAATATGGTTGAGGACGTAAGAATATTATAATTCGTCCTAAACCCGACAAAGGAAATACAGGGGCTCTACAAGGTATAAAATTTTTATGACAAGGTGCATATTTTTCTGGTAAAGAAGAGGTCTTTAAGTGATCTGAAACGTCTTTTGTCTGAAGGACATCCTTAAAGGTAGGTGCAGGGTCCATTATATTGAAAATACAGGAAAAACAAACGAAAATTATCAAGAATACAAATAAACATCAAGTTTTCTAAATAAAGATTAAAAAGAATAGTATAAAGTGCGAGGCGAACTTACTTGGTATAGCGTCCAACGATAATGGAGAATGAGAAAGGAAAGCTTGAGAAAGCGTCAGCAAAAAAGTAAAAAAGATGAAATTGAAGGAGAAAGAGGAAAAGCCAAATGTGGGAAGGAGAAAGAGCAGAAGCCAGAAGAGAAAATGAGAAGAAAGAAAAAATGAAATGATTGAAAGACGTCATATCGCACTTGTTTGAGAAAATCAAGATCAGTCAGAAGAGGACATGTGGCAAATGCAGAGTATAGGGGCATGTAGCATTTAATGAGAGTGCTTCTCGTTTGGCCCGAGTTTAACTGATAAGACAAACCCAAATCGTCAACTTGGAGTATTTTCTATATAATACTCCAAGCTGAGGGGCTTAATGTTTCGGGTTCGTAACGTGAGCTTAATTAAGCATAATTAAGGCCCATAACTAGAGGAGGTCCCCAAACGAAACCCATAGTAGGAGACCGGAATATGGCCCTAACCCATGTTTTACCGGCACACGTGGACCCTACCACGATCTTAATAATTGCACCACTATTAACTACCCATGATGATTATAACCATTAGTAAGACCATATATGAAGATCCTAAACAAGTTAATGGGCACAAATTACTCACAAGATCAACCCTTTAATGTTCATACAAAACACTATTAATTTATTGTTTTTAATTCAATATATTATTGGACTATTATAAACTAATAAAATCCAGACTGATTCGTCTATTACACAAAATTTACTTTCAATTATGAAATTCATTAACCATGGATCATATTTTAATTCGAAGTTCATTTGTCAAACTAATCCTTGATCATCATTTTCTTAGTAAATTCACATTAACATTTTTAAGGTTCAGATTTAAAAGAAAAAATAAATAAACTTTCGACCCCTTCAAAGTGAAATCATAAAAAATTTATCATCTCAGGCATAACGAGATTTTATCATCTCAAACTGAAGTATTGATGCATAAACTATCCACTAATTTAACCAAGGCCCAAAAAAAAGTATTGATCCAGAGAACAAAAGAATGATCATCTGTGAATTGCACCCTTACGATAATTATTACGAACATATTTACAGCACAGACTAAAATACTAAGGTCAACAGGTGCATGAAAGGATTGCCTTCAAGCCTTTAAAAATAAATGTGATCGTCACTTGCGACGAATAATATTACATACAATCAAAAGTGCAAGGGACAAAAAAATACCAATCCTTAAATACTCCTACAAAACTTCAACAGCAGGTGGCTTCCCAGCCTAGTTGGGCATGATTTAGTAACAAATGACTAATGTAAACTCCTGCAAATGTTTTCAACCAGAAGCAGAAGCAGCTCTCTCCTTATCAAATTCCCCTTGCTCTTCCTTGGCAAACTCTTCAATCAATTCACGCTGTCTCTCTGTCAGATTTCTGCGACATTACAAAACAGGCATTTATAGTCTAAACATTCCATCACAAAGAAGTATCTTTCCCTTAAAAAATGTTAGCCTAGGCTATTTTTTATTTGTGGGGAGAGCAAGAGGACTTAGTAGTCCATAAATCACACCAACTAATATCATTAAATGTAACACTCACGTTGGGATGCTGACATCAAAATGAACGTATTGATCCCCGAATGTGTAAGAATTTTTTGACTTGATCCCTGTTAAAGAGAACAAACTGGTTAATAACGGCGAAAAAATAACAGCTTAAACTGACACTACTTAAAATCCATGCAACTGGTTGTTGGAATTTCAAATATTTTTTTCACACAATGCTTTCTTAAAAATCTCTCTTATTATCCATAAACGATATCAACTTGCTTACCTTTCTTTTTCAAAACCACCTTCTGACCAGGTTGGGTCCCAGGACGAACCTGCCAAACAGGACGTGTCATTGAAACTTCAACGGTTACTAAACCAAAATGTCATGAGAAATTAATTACATTGCAATAACAATACAAACCTTAAGAACAACATCTCCAGTAAGAGTTGGGACCTGAATGGTTCCGCCCAAAACTGCCTGAAAAAGAGAGAAAAAATTCTTCGGTTTGCAGATTACTTTTAAGCAATAGTTTAATACCCCAATAATGCAACACAAACAAATAACGAGATGTTTGAGATTCAAAAACATCAAACATTAACATCTTTATCCCAAACTAGTTAGAGTTGATGGTAGATGAACCCAATTGAAAAGTATGAAAAGATTGAGAGAAAAAACAAAAATAAAGTTTAAAATGTATATAAAACATTATCCATTAAAAAAATAACAATAAACACTTCAAAGGAAAAATAAAAATAAAAATAAAATAAAGTGAAAACAAAAGATGCATAAGAGAGAAAAATACATGTGAGGATAAAAGAAAAGAATAAGAAAGTAAAAATAAAAAAATAAAGAGATAAAAAAAAGAAAAAAGAAAATACATAAATAAATAAATAAGAAAAGAGAGATTGAGAAGAAAAAAGAGGTAAAGGTAGAAATAAAGGGAGATAAAAGGGAAAAGGACTAAAACGGGACCATATGGAACATAGGAAGGAAAACGGGTCAAGCTAATAGTTTTTCTTCAATTCAACCTAAGACACACCATCTGCCAATCTATATCGCACTTCATTAAGTCTTGTTTTACTATATTTCCCCAAGTACGTTTCGGTCTACCTCTTCCTCTGTCTTAAGCTCTTCGTAACAAACTTTTGTTCTCACAGGAGCATCTAAGGGTTTTCGTATTGTGCCCAAACCACCTCATTCTATGCTCTCTCATATTTTCAACCACTAGTACTCCTACCTTTCGTCGAATATCTTTATTTCTTATCTTATCCATTCTCGTATGACCACATATCCACCTTAACATCCTCATTTCCACTACTCCGATTTTATGCTTATGTTGCTTATGTGCTGGCCAACATTCAGCTCCATATAACATTACAGACCTTATTACTGTTGTATAGAATTTCCCTTTTAGCCTAAGAGGAATTTTGTGATCACATAAAAACCCTAATACACCATACCATTTCATCCACAGTGCTCTGATTCTATGATTTACATCATCATCAATCTCTTCACCCTTTTGTAAAATTGATCTCGGATATCTAAAACCATCTTTCTTGAATACCTCTTGTCCAAGCATATATACGAAATCTTGATCTACATCTCTTATCGGAGCAAACTCACAATTCAATACTCAGTCTTGCTTAGCATAAATCCTTTAAAATTCAATGTGCTTCTCCACAATTCTAGCCTTCTATTAACACCAACCTTGGTCTCATCGGTAAGCACAATATCTTCTGCAAAAAGCATACACCATGGTATTTTCTCTTGAATATCTTTTGTTAGTTCATTTATAACTAGGACAAAGAGATATAAAGACTTCGAGCAAAACCTTGGTGTACACCAAACGTGATAGGAAAATAATTTGGTGTTCCAAAACATGTACAAAAATAAAACCTCCAACTACAACCACCACTACCATTCCTTTTTCTTAAAAAATAAAAAAAATAAGCCGACCAGAATCAGCCATTGATGATTGCTATATACCATCAGCCCCCAAATCCTATTAAATGTCAATACTCTATCCTCTACGTCAACCAGGAAATTTCGGGGGTCAAAGATGGAAGATACCCTTGACCATGGGCGGAACTCATCTTCACCAGCAGCCTGCTGAATTCTCCAACCCACGTCATTGGTAGCCACTATCACTCCACCCACGATCACCACCCACGGATTTCGTGCTCTGGATCACTCCACTCTCATTCAACTGTCACCAAGCCACTACAAAATGCTGGAACAGTGTCATAGGGACACAGCTAGAACAGTAAGCATTCCCCAATTACAATTGACTGGAACATTCACTCGATCTTAGGTGTTCACACACACACACCTGATTTTTCGCATCGAACAAGAAATTAGAGGTATTGAGCATCCCTTGCCAGTCATCTTTCTCCCATAACCCCATGGATAGAAACACTAGGACTCATTGCTAGACACTTCTAGTTCAACACTCTAAACAGGTAGTATTTGATTTATCTTTTGTTCTCCTTTTCAGTTGATTTATCTAACACTCCATGCCTTTTTCTGTACCAAGCAAAAAGAACCTTTCCTGTGGAAAAAAAGGCAAGAATGGAATCCTCATTTCAAGACAAAGTAGCCAAAACATACTCTAAGAGTCCTTGTTGGACATATGGAAATGAAAGAAGGGAAACTATTCCATCATTTGGGAAATCAGGAGTTAAAAAATTCATGCAGGAAGAGGGAATGTGATGAGAACTGGAGAACCATTCCTCCCTTTCCACATAAACTCATTTTCCTGTTCCCGTCCAAATTGGGGGTAAATGAGGAGTGTTAGATATGATTAGTCTGATTAGATATGATTAGATATGATTAGTCTGTAATTATTCTGATTATATTCTGATTGTATTAGGTCTGGGCCTTTCCTATAAGCCCATTAGAGTCTCTATATATTGTAACTCTCTGAATTAGATCAATACACAACATATTATTTTATATTCAAGTAAGAGAATAACTTTAAAAACTTTTCGTTTACTATTTCCTCCCAAAAATTTGAGTTAGCTAAACTTTATAAGGGCCAGATTTGAATTTTACACTTATAACTCTACAACTTTCCCTTTCTTCCCCCATTAATCATTCAATTCAAATATAGTGAAGGCGACTCCTTCCCATCCCATCTTTACCTCTTCCTTTTATCCTATCTCATACTTTTATGGGTTCGTTTTTTCTGCAGTTACTGCAGATAGCTTATCTGCAGTAAGCCAATACGACGTCGTTTTGGGACGGAAATCATGGTGTTTTTGTAATTTTAATTTATTTCAGGGTTATAATAATCTTTATATTCATAATTTTTTAAGATTTCAATACCAAAACGACGTCGTTTTGGGAATAAATGCAGATAACTTATCTGCATTAACTGCAGAAACATTTTTCCCTAGTTTTATATGCCATTATCTCTAAAACCTCCAAACATAGCCTAAGGCATCAGCTCAATCATATAGATGAAAGTTGAAACATGAATCATCTTTCTTAAATTTTATTTTTCTTGATATCTTTATGAAGCATACTTTTATATGCCATTATCTCTAAAACCTCCCATCTTTCTTTTTCTTTTTCTTTTTAAATTCCCCCATTATCTCTAAAACCTCCAAACATCTTCTTTTTCTTAAATTTTCTTAAACAAAGAGAAAATTATTTATGTTGCTGTAGTGCTAGAAGGAAATGATTTAAAAAGAAAATTATGATAACTTTGGTAGAAAAGAAACGAAGCAAGCCTCTTGAACCCCAAATATTAAGGAACATTACCTGAGTGATACTTAAAACAGCATCTACGTGAATATTAGATCCTTCTCTCCGGAAGACAGGATCTTCCCTGACCTGCAAGAAGGGGAAAATTATTGAGCTTCTGAGGACATAAAGAAGGAAAAAGTAAATGACCTCCAAGCCATGAAGAGATTAACATGTTTACCTTGATAGTAACATAAAGATCACCGGGGTGATCTCCATCAGGATCTGCACCACCACTTCTATAAACCTTTATGGTCTCATTGTTGTCCATGCCTGCAAATGTAAAAACATGTCAATCGGTCAAGCTTTTTCATAAGTGAACAAAATGATAAGTGAAAATGATTAAACAGGAGAGGTGTGCATTATGTAAAGAAAAAAATTGTCTTTTTTAACCTCCATTATTGACAGAATCAAATTTGTCAACAGAAGGATAAAGTCAACATTGCCACAAATTATCCATAAATCTGAAATTATAAACTTTAATCTGCCAAAATTCAGAAGCATCTTTATGTTCGTTTTAGTTGCCATTTTAACACTTACCTGTAAGGGCAAACTGTTATGATCCAGTTGCAAAGTGTAGGAAATTAGGATTAGAATCTTTCTGCTTTTATTTCCTATTAATTAGTGATTATTTTTTCCTTATAGGAATATGAATTTTTAATATGTTTCTATAGATAGGATAGGGCTGATGAGTCATTGTTGAGTCATTCTTATCCATTTTTTTCTTTCTCATTTGATCTAGTATAAATACCTCGTATCCATGTAAATCAAATGTTATCAATTTTAGAAAAATCCTTTGTTTTACATCCTTCAATATAGTATCAAGAGCAGGCTGGTCCTGAAAAAGCTTAGCCACCACAACCACCATCAAACCAACTTATCCATTTTTTCTTTCTCATTTACTCTTGTATAAATACCCCCTATCAGTGTAAATCAAATGTAATCAAGTTTAGAACAATCCTTTGTTTTACATCCTTCAATATAGTATCAAGAGCATGTTGGTCCTGAGAAAGCTCAGCCACCACAACACCATCAAACCGGCGGCACATCGCCGGAAAACTCAACCTTTAGCCACTGTTAAGGCTGTTTTCACCTCCTACAAAGCCCCAACAACAAAGTAAGGTTGCCAAACACTGTAAGACGGCCAAAACCAATCGAATCCTAGCCTTTCGCCACCGTCAACTGCCGCCGGATTTTTTTTTGTGGTGACCTTTCTGGCCAAAACCTACATTGTTAGGCTCAGAAGGAGCCGATCTACAAGGTTGTAACAAGGCCCATCGGCGTCTGACCTAGCATGCGAAGGAAACAGAACGGTAGCACCTTCCCCACACATCCCACGAGCGGCCCAGTACGGCGCGTGTGATCCACGTGCCACCCTCCAGCCATCTGGTCAGCTTCAGACTCGTCTTGTTTGGTTCGTGTTCTCCTCCTCTATCTGTTCCAAGGTTCAAATTGGTGATTGGAGACATTTTTTCTTTCGGACTATGCCTACCCAAGAAAAGGGAACTTAGAGAGTGCCTGATATTGCTATTGGGCTCGAATTGGTACCTTTTATGTGGCTGTTTCTATAATAGACTCCGAGTTTGTTGTTTTAGATGACTTAGAAAGTATCATGTCCCATAACTCAGCCTCCTCTGTGCTTGAATTGGACTCAGCTTCAAATTTGATTGAGAGTGATAAGCTTCAAGCAGCGAAGCTATTGGGACCAATAACTTGGAGACTAAATTTGCATAGCTAGAAATGCCAAATCTTAGTTCGTCGAGTGTGCCATCCAGTAATGTTGCTCAATAAGGTACGGCATTCCATGTTGATCATAGTAGTCGTTGGATCCTTGATGGGCCTTACAACAATTAGATGTAAAGAATGCATTCTTGAAATGTGATCTATATAATAACCCTCACTGTCAAAATAGGTGGTAAATTAATTAAGTGTTTAATGGAATTAAACACGTATTTAAGGAATATGGTGAGTGATAAATCATGTAAATTACATGATAATTAAGTGAAGGATACAGTTCATACCAGACAAGTCAAATAGGATCCTAATGGAATTAATATAAAAGATTTAGGGTCAAAGTATAATTATGTGAAAGTTTAGGGATTAGTTTGCAAATAAGTGAAACTAGGTCTAAACTTGATTTTAATGTTTTAATTAAATTGTTTGGGAATTCTATGAGATAGAAGTGATGTTATTTTAATCAAATGATGTCTAGATTAATTCTTAAAATTAAGTCAAAGTATGGAATTAATCGACCAATAGAAATTGAAATAAGTCAAATTGTGTGTAAAATCAATAAGACTTTGAAAGTTAGTAAAACTTGTGAAATTCCTATACATATTCGATGACTACATGAGTTCCTTGTGTCATTGTATTATTAAAGTCAAGGGAGTCAAATGTTGATAGGAATTAGCCATAAGAATTTAAGTTGAAAGTCTTAAGAAGAAATAAGACAATAGGATTTAAGTTGAAATTCAAAGGTGACATGTAAAGATTTACTCACTTGGTTTCATGTAATTGGCTACACTTTGTGACATAGCAAGTCGTCAATAAAAGTAGCCAATGGAAGTGATTTTTAGTGTCAAAAGGTCTTAGTTGAAATAAAGAACCAATAGAAATTTATATTGAAAGTCTAAAGATGAATGAACCAATGAGAATTCACTTTGAACGTCATAAGTTGTAGGTTAAGTGAGTAACTTATTAATCAAGTTGTTTGGCTTGATATTTTCAGCCATGTGCCTTCTTGTTTCACGCCACTTCCTTTCTCATTAAGGAAGAAGTGTTCTAGAATGTGGTATTAAAAGATGACAAGGCAAAGTGCATAGAAAATCAACCAATGAGAAGATAGCTTGCAAAGTTGAAACACTAAGTAAATATCTAAGTTCATTAAGTCATTATGTAATGGCAACAGCAGAAATTAAACAATTAACACAACAAATAAAAAATGATAGGACGATTCTTTCTGTATAACTTCTTTGGTATTGAAAATAAGAGAAAGACTGAACGTCTGTTACAACTAGAGCAATTTGAGAGTGCTCTATTCTCTCCTTACTACTCACTGACTAACTGAATGAATATCTCTCTTCTCACTCATACTTCATATAACAACCTACAACCCTCCACACGCGTACTACACCACGCCTTATCCATAACTGCTTATTCTCATCCTACTCCCCTACACCACGTCAGCTGCCAACTCATCGATACTGAGTTCTTCCACATCAGCCTCAGGTACTCTGACTCGTTCCACATCAGCCTCAGATACCCTACGGCCTAGCCTACGGTACACCTTAATAGGCTTTGTTACAATACTTTCCCCCAATGCTTTCACCTTGTCCTCAAGGTGAAACTCGGGAAAACGCTACAAAATAGAAGAAGCTAACTCCCATGAATTTTCAAAGTCAAGTAGATTTTGCCACTGAATCAACACCTCTGTGAATCCATTTGGATTAATACGATGTTGCAGCACCTGAACGGGTTGAACCTCCAACTCCCACGAATCTGACAGCCTAGGAGGCAAGGGTTGCACCACAGTTGACGGTTGGACAACACCCTTAAGAAGTGACATGGAAAACAGGGTGTACTTTGGATCCAATGGGTAAATCCAATTTATATGCTGCAGCACCTATGTGTTCAACCACCTGATAAGTGCCATAAAAACAGGGCTAAGCTTCTCATTAATTTTCGTCGCTAAAGACTTTAGCCTATATGGTTGCAGTTTTAAAAACACCCCCTAACCAATCTGGAAAACAACATCCCGACGTTTCCTATCAGCATACTGTTTAAACCGACATTGTGTCTGTGCCAAATTCTGCTGCAATTCTTGCAATATCACATCTCGTTCCTTAAGTAATTGCTCCACTGAATCCACACTTGACGGGTGATTGCCACTGCGAAACAAGGTAGGAGCATCCCTCCCATATAAGGCTTTAAATGGGGTCATACCAGCAGATTCGTGGTAATTGGTATTAAACCAAAATTTCGCCCAATGTAACCAAAGATTCCATTGTTTGGGACGAGGATGACAAAAACAACGAAGATACGTTTCAACACACTTATTCGTAACCTCAGTCTGACCATTGGATTGGGGGTGATAAGCTGAAGAAAACTTCAAAGACGTTCCAGCTTTACGAAACAACTCTCCCCAGAAAGAACTCATGAATAACCTATCTCTATCAGAAACAATAGACAATGGAAACCCATGCAAACGCACAATCTCTTTGATGAACAGATTGGCTACATCTTTCGCAGAAAAGGGATGTTTAAGAGCAAGGAAATGAGTATATTTAGTGAAACGATCAATCACCACCAAAATAGTGTCATAACCATTAGAAATAGGAAGGCCACCTACAAAATCCATAGCAATGTCATTCCAAGCCTGTGAAGGAATAGGAAGGGGCTGCAATAAACTCGCAGGAGCCAACGTGGAGTGTTTGTTACGTTGGCAAGTCTCACAAGCTGTCACATGAGCATGATTATCCTTGCACATGCCTTCCCAAAAGACACAATTACTGATGCGCTTATACGTTTTGTGAAAACCAGAATGCCCCCCAACCACAGAATCATGAAATTCCTTAAGAATTTTTGGGATCCAAGAAGAATTTTTAGCCAATACCAGTCGGTTTTTATAAAATAACCGTCCACCCTGCAAAACGAAGCCTTCATGAGCAGAAGGATTTATCAATAACTCTTGAATAACCTTGTTGAGCCGTGCATCTTGCTGTAATTCATTCTGAATCACGTCCAATTCGTCAAATTGCACCTGTGATATAGCATTAAAACACATTTGTCTAGATAAAGCATCAGCAACCGCATTTTCTTTTCCTGGACGAAATTGAATAGTGAAGTCAAAACCAAACAGCTTCGAAACCCACTTTTGCTGGTCTTTAGAAAGCAACCTTTGTTCAGTCAAAAAACGCAAGCTTCTCTGATCAGTACGGATAATGAAATGACGTCCCATCAAGTAATGTCGCCATGTAGTAACCGCAAAAACAATCGCCATAAGCTCCTTTTCATACACAGATTTAACCAAAGCCCGTTCACTGAACCCACGACTGAGAAAAGCATTGGGTCTATCCTCTTGCATCAACACAGCTCCAACACCCTTTTCCGACGCATCCGTTTCTACTATAAACTTCTGAGAGAAATCAGGCAATGCTAATACTGGAACTGTGGTCATAGCATTTTTCAATAGATCAAAAAAGGCTTGTGCTTCCTCATGCCACTGGAATCCATCTTTCTTAAGTAATGTAGTAAGTGGTCGAGCTATCTTCCCG